TAAGATTTTAAATGAAAGGGCTTGGCCATCAGGTGTGTAATAAGGTTTAATTTTTTTGATATACACATTGAGTGCGTACGAGGCTGCCTAGTAATACATATATGAATAATTGAATTGTTTAGTTCTTCTTTCCACTGTGTTTTCATAACCTTTCTTCGCCATCTGAATATGAAATTTAAAGTTATAAAATTGTTTGAACCCATTTACTTGCATTTTCGGTACATATTTTTATGGAAACACCCGTATGTGGTCACAAGTGGGCGGTGTCATTTCCATTTTTCCCAAATTTTTTTAATAAATTATCTTCAGCAATTACTGATTTATCACAGATATCTTATCTGCAATTTACCGTTATATTACGTGACTTAAACAATTTTCAACAATTGTGTCAAGATTGGTAGTTTATGTATTTATTTCTGCTAACTACCGTTACATGGGAGGTAGTGGTTGTTGTCGATTTTGCCCATTAGACAGACGGACGGAGGGACAGACAAACATGGCTTGATCGATTTCTCTTTTTATTCTGAGTCGAAGGTGATCTGTCTCAATATATTGTTAAAAACTTATTTTATTTATAAAAAGCTCGATAAATTTTAATATTTTTCCGAAATATTTTGGCAGAAGTCTTAAAATATAATGCGTTTTAAAATTTCGGTGGAAAAACCGTACTGTTTTTTTTTTTTAATGCAGAGTGATCCACCTTAATGCGTTCAGTTGAATATGTGCACCTATTGCGTTTGATGTTTCTCATACACTACTACTTTGCCAGGAATTCTCAATATTTTTGTTTCTATAGTATTTTTCCTCCCCCAGAGCTGGTCTCTTAAGTTGTCTTTGTTTCTTCCCAACGTTTTGGTGTATTGGACAATTGCGTAGCACATAAATTTGCTATTTTTGCACTTTACGTTGTACGAATATTTAAAAATAAAACAAACGATTTACTCGTGTTCATCTCAAAACCCGTGAGTAAGTTTATTAGTAGGAAATTATTTTTGTGTTTTAACACTCAGAGAATTAAAATAGTAATAACAATTAAAACATTTTAGGCACGTATATAAAACTTGGTAGGGCTATTGGTAATTTTAGCTTTATATTTAATTTTCGCATAAATTGCCAAGGGACAATTATGCGCTTATTTGAAAAGCGTCCACTGGAAGATGTTAACATTAGACCTATGCGAAGGATTGAAGGAGTATGATACATATGTATATTGCGCATATGTATATACACACATATTGTAGAACGTTGAGATATTCATTCCCTTTCAATATTTGCAAATGTTGAATGCAAGTTTGCGTTTTTTTGTTGCTTAAAAGTGGGTCACCATTTTATTTTATTTTTTCGAAATATATTTTTTAAGCAATGGGTTTCCGTCTTTGTCTTCGTCTATTTTGTTTTGACATTTTTCGGCACAAGGGCGCTGGACTCAATTCATACATATGCGACGAAGGTAGGTAGCGCGTACGAATATATTTTTCATTTGCAGCGTGTATGTAGAGGTAGAATTGACAGCTGCCTGACGTTGAATGCACTTCTTGTTTTGTGCTTTTGTACGAATTACATATACACATATTTTTGTATTATTTTTAATGTTTTTATTTTTGAGTTATTGTTAAATTTCATGTCGGCGCGGTAGCATTGGCGTGGGCATACGACGTGCGCAAAAGCTGATAATTTTATCACACTGCGTGGGTTAGTTTTGAAAACTTTTTACTCAACGCAGAATGGCGTATACATATACATAGTAGTATGTCTTAAAATAAAGAACTAAATCTATTAAATTCTACTCCATGTGTTTCAACAAGTTTAATATATTTTAAAACTCTATGTTACCGTAAGCGCCTCTTGCCATAATAAAATCGGAAATTATCAATATAATAATCGATATTTTTATCGATTTTGTTGCCAATATTTATGTCGATGTTTTTATCGATTTTCTAATCGATTTTTGTTATCGATTTTGTTATCGATTATTTATCGATTTTATTATCGATATTTTAATCGATTGTCTAATTGATTTTGCTACCAATATTATTATCGATTTTTATCGAATTTGTCATCGATTTTGTTATCGATATTTTATCGATTCTGTTATATGTTATTTATTAATTTGGTTATCGATTAGTTATCGATTTTTGTTATCGATTTTGCTATAGATTATTTATCGATTTGGTTATCGATTATTTATCGACTTTGAGCAGATGTATATATGTATGGAAATATGTATGTATATTCGTTATGAAACAAAATAGACAGGTAACGTAAGTTTCACTTCTCCAGTGTGGTCCAGGCGCACTTATTTTTTTTTTTGAAGCTTTTTTGATAAACTTCAGTTAAGTGTTCTTTTATGATGAGTTTACTAGAAAAAATATTTTTACAAAAACCAAAGATGCATCTGCGAAATTTAATCTCAAATAAAACTGTTCGTTTCTCCTCTATGCCAATAGACACCGATTGGAAATGCCTAGTGAAGCCAAAACCTTCTCCACCTGGCCACTGTAACATAAGCACACAAGACTTAATATTGTAAAAATTAATTACATATAATAAAATTGAAGATATTTATATTTAAAAATTTGCCAATTTCGCAACTTCGTCCATTTTTATTAAAAACTAACCAATATCCCGAGCACTTCGCTGCGCCTTCAAAGTATTTTTATTGTGTTGTTACTCCCTCTCACTCCATTAAAAATTTTCACTTAGTTATTATACTTAGTTGTGAAAGTATTATTTGTAGACAGATTTTTTCAAATTACAAACAAATTTGATTTCAGTTTTTCATGGAAGATAAATATACGGTCTTTGAATATTTTTTGCCCACAGTATCAAAAGCGACAAATATTGAATTAATACACCATTGAAGAAATTGCGCGATGTATAGATTTGAATTAAAATTTTATAAATTGAATTTCTAGAAGAGAGTCGATATTTTGCCTACCTGTTAATACCTTTTAAACAATTCTATTTAACATACAAATTCATAAAAAATATTTTCGACAGTTAATATTCTTTGTTGTAATATTTTTTATTTATTTAATTAGATAAAGTTTTTCAAAGAGGTGGCAACCCTCCTCGAAATAATTTTCGGCTGTAAGCCTTCTTAAATTTTAGTCTGATACCCATATTGCATTGTTTGCTTTATCTTATCAATTAAATTAAATTAAAATTTTTAAACAGGTGGAACTATTGTCTGTGTTGTTTTAAAATAGGATATAAAAACTCATCTGAGTCGTTTCCGTTTTGTACCCACCATCCATAGAGGGTAACTGGGACAACATTTATGGATACCTATATTCACATTTACTTATGTTGAGGATAAATTATAATATCATTCGAACAAAAATTTACTTGACATGACATTCGCGGCAATTATCATTTTTTTAAAGAATTGTGACAGAATTCCCATAAGATTACATGCATCTTATCAACCCCTCGCCGCTGTAATGCAATAGCTTAGCTGACAGGCTCCACAATTCTTTTATTTGTTTTTCAGCCGTGGAATATCAGGTCTTCATCCAAAGATATGTATTGGTCTCATCCGAAGCTTTTTGTTCTTTTTCATTGGAAATTTGCTTTACACAGCTTATGACCGGAACCTGGGGCTATAAACTAAATTTATAGAATTGACGTTGACGGAGGTGGTCCGAGTCTACTTTTCACCCATCAGAGTATTATTATCACTTTTCAATGGCAAAGGATTTGGCCCCTCTTTCCCGTGTCCTTTTTATAACTTTGGGTTTTAAATAACCCGAAATTTGTGTTAAGTTTTTACTTTAAAAACTTGTGTACAATGGCGGGAAAATAAATAGGGAAGGGGCATTTAAACAAGTTTCTGCTATTTTTTCTTTGTTTATTTAAGGTTTATTATATTTTTACGAAAGTTTAGGTCGGTAACTAACAAAACAAAAATAAGGAAAAATCCACAAAGCTTCGTCAAAAATTCAAATTTTTTAATCAGAATAAAAATAAATTTTGGTATGCAATTCTGTAGTCCGATTAATTTTAGTCCACACAAAGTATGTTCGAAAAATTTTTTATATGAAGAAAAATGTACAACGCCGCCAGCGAAAAAAAATTTTAAAATTGAACGGTAAGTTCTAAATACTTCAAACTTGCGCTTAAAAAACTTCATATCCAGATGTTTTTTTTTTAATTCTGAACAGAGTGTTCGAAATTTTGACTTACATGGTTTTTATTAGATAGCGGGCTATGTTTTTATAAAAAAAAAATAAGAAACATTAAATAACAAAAGCAAATTAGCTAAAACTTGTTAGCATATCGCGCTCCTATTTGTTTCTCAGCCACCGTATGACAATTTGGGATTTCAAAATACATATCTATGTATGTCAACTTAGTTTTTCTAAATATTCTTTATTTTTTTAATTTTTGCAGGATAAGAAGTTAACGAAGCGCACAGGGCCCCGCAACGGGTGCCTCGGATAAACATCTCTTGCTTTAGCCTCAAAACAAAGGCAGCTGAAGAAGTACACCGGAAGGAACAGTTTTCATATATTAGATTGCTCAGGAAATAAATCGGTAAGTCTATATATGTACATATGTACGTTGTACTACTTCGAATGAAAAAAATCTAAATTGCAACCCTATTGTTGTTACCTATTCAATGTGCATTGGGATATACTAGAAAAAGGGCAAATGAGGAGTCTTATAATTTTTACTCTTCGAAACAAAGCAAATAGAAAGCATATTCGCATGGGCAAAGGAATTGTTTGATAATTAATTTGGTAATACTATATTCATAAATACGTCTATTGGTAATGGGCTGCACTGTATTAACTCACTCAAAATTAAGTTTCGAAATACTTTTTTGAATATTTTCCTTGTCTGCCAGTTAAAAGAAAAAAAAATATTTTAACCACATTTCTTCGTTACTTTTCACGATCCATATTTTGTTAAAGGCATTCCCAGTGAATTGTTACCAATGACATCTACAAAACCTAACGCAGAGAAGAAGAAAAAGGGTCCCAATCCGTTTGATGTCCTTCGAGACCAATCAGCCTTACGACAGATCTTCATGCCCTCAATCTTCCGTAGTGAAAAAATGTCACTTTGTCAAATGCTTTTGCATCGCGAAACAGCCTTTGATTGTCTCTACGAAGTCGGCAAGGAGGGTAAGGTGCAATTTATTTCACACATCGAAGGCTACTACCTACCCTGTATGAGCTATGTCTCCGAAGTGCAGTCTTGCCATGAACTGCTCAACACAATGAAGACTCTGCAGACTGAGATCGATGACTGTCATCTGACCACTATCTATTATCCAAACGTGGACACAGAAGAAGTGCCCACAGAGAGTGATTTATTGAACATCGAAGCTAATTTGGCGGCAATACAAGCCGAACTGGCAGATGTGCTGTCGGAGAGAGAAGTGCTGCAGCTGCAGCAAACCGTATTGAAGGAAAGACTTTTCGTGCTCACGCGCACCGAGGCATTTTTCACGGGCAGCAGCAACCGTGAGCCTGTCATGGCTTGGACTAACAGCATGATAATGAATCTGCTGCGCGATCGTATGCAAAGCGATACGCGAGACACTCAAGCACATCTGGGCTTTTTAACCGGCACAATACAAGTTGATAAATTTCGTGCCTTCGAGCAGGTCTGCTGGCGCATTTGTCATGGTAATGTTTATATACGACGCGCCGAAATGCCGCACATCATGACGGACGCAAACAAAGGGAAGAACACCATACGCAAGTATGCTTTTGTCATTTTATTCGTTGGCCATGCAATGCGTATGAAAATCGTGAAATTGTGTCAAGCTTACTCCGTACAACTGCACGACTATCCAGAAACCGCCAACGATCGCATTGAGTACCGCAAGCGAATCTCTTTGGAATTGGCTGACATCGAATTGGTGTTGGAGCAAATGAAGGCGCAGCGACGCAGAATACTCAGCATTGCTACATTGGAGTTGTTTATTTGGCACTCAAAAATCACTAAGTCACTTATGATTTACGACGCTATGAACAAAATGGCGAATGTGCATCAATTGGATAGGCAAAAGTATTTGGTTGCCGAGTGCTGGATACCGACGAACAGTGTGCCGAAAGTGCGCCAGACACTGTTCAGAGGCGCATTGCGTTCTTCGAAAGGCGCACAAACTTTTCCGCCTATTATAACCGAATTGAAATACAAGCCGCGACTGCGCGAACCGCCAACCTACTTTGAATTGAATAAGTTTACGAGGGGTTTTCAAAATCTTGTAGATGCTTATGGCATTGCTTCTTATAAGGAACTCAATCCATCACCATACACTATTATCACCTTTCCCTTTCTCTTTGCGGTGATGTTTGGTGATGTGGGCCATGGTATTATAATGACTGCACTCGCTGGATGGATGTGCATTAAAGAGAAACAACAAGAAGAGCGGATGAGGAATGAGAAAGAACCTAACGAAGTCTTCAGCTTGATTTTCGCCGGTCGTTATGTCATACTACTGATGGGTATATTCTCAATTTACACGGGGTTGATATACAATGATGTGTTTTCGAAGCCGCTTAATTTGTTTGGCTCACATTGGCGTGTCAACTATACAACTACTGAGGTATTGGCTAATAACCACCTACAGTTGGATCCACAAGACCCCGCACACTACCATGGCACACCGTATATATTTGGCATGGATCCAATATGGGACATAGCCGGCCAGTATTCCATCACTACCTTCAACTCGCTGAAAATGAAAATTGCTATTATTTTGGGTGTGGTCCACATGCTGTTCGGACTGTCGTTGTCAGCATGGAATAGCAGGTACTTTAAGAATTCAATCGAATTGTATTTGGTATTTTTGCCGCAGATTGTTTTCTTTGCTTGCCTTTTTCTCTATTTGGTATTGCTAATATTTATTAAATGGAGTATATTCGGAGGACACTACGCGAAGCCTTACAACAGCGCCTGCGCTCCCTCCATTTTGATTATGTTCATTAATATGGTGCTTTTCAAAGACGGCTCGAAGGATGTGCAAAAAGGCTGTCAATTGGAAATGTTTACATTCCAAATGGGCTTACAATACATGCTGATTTTCATAGCTTTGTGTTCGATTCCGGTTTTATTGCTTGGCAAACCAATACATATACAACATCAGCAAAAGAGAATCAAGGCAATTCAGGATGCCGAGCGCAAGCGCATGGTGAATCGAGAAACATTGAAGAACGTGCGAAGATCGCTACAAACCTACAATGTGGAATATATAAAACCTGGTTCATCATCGCAAGTATTTCGCGATTTGGAAGAGGAAACTGTGGATATGACTGAAGTTTGGATACATCAGGGCATACATTGCATCGAGAGCGTTTTGGGATCTGTCTCGCACACGGCCTCTTATTTGCGGCTGTGGGCGCTATCTTTGGCGCACGACCAATTGTCCACAGTGCTGTGGAATATGGTGCTACACGTACCACTTGTACGCCTGAATGGTTTCATTGGCAGCATTGCACTGTATTTGGTGTTTTGGATATGGGCTGCTCTTACGATGGCCATTCTTGTGGTTATGGAGGGACTATCGGCATTTCTGCACACTTTACGTTTACATTGGGTCGAATTTCAATCTAAATTTTATAATGGCTCCGGTGAGAAGTTCGTACCGTTCTATTTTCAACCAACGGGGAGATATATTTGAAAGAGGTTCGAAAAGGCTGCCGTGTATCAAAGATCAGCAGATTGAAAGATCGAAATGGCATTTCTCAAACCTTACAGTCTCCTTCACTTGAGTCATAAACTACATAGTATATATAACGTACATATATTTTGGATAAAATTGCATTATTCCTTTACAAATGCTTGTTCGAGAGTAATCCTCAAACTTCAATTACAGTAAATTTAATAAAAAATTAAATATTATTGTAAACAAGAGTAGTTAAAGAATTAATCCTAAATGGGTTTAAGAAGGCAAGTGAAAAATTGGTTGATGCCGCATGAGGTGCCTTGGCAAGTTCCGGGCGTGTTTGGACATGTACCAGTTTAGCCTTAGAATTTCTCTCTCTTAGACCTTGCTCAGAATCTCTTGAGGCAGCTGGAGCTTTTCGACTGTGATGGCTGGTGGTTGAACTCCGATGACGGGAATGAATTCCTGTTTGTACAGTGTTGGCGTCAGGAGTTGTGAGATGTCGATCTGCACCTGGTCCTTGCAGTGGCTGTGTTTCCAGCGAGCACCTGTTCGAGTTTTCCCTACTTGCCGGGTATAAGCATAAAATTGTGTTACCTAAAGGGGAGGCCTCGCTAGGTAGATGGTGTTCCGGCGATGTAAGACTGCATTCCGTTGCTGTTCGGAGTGGCTTGCATGGACTATCTGCAGCTCAGCAGACGGTATACTACTAGTACCCGCTGACCAAAATAATAATATTTGGAGCTTACATATGTAGCTCAGTGTTTGGCTGAGCATTTATTTAGTCATTAAAAAGTTCACGACATACGACAATACGCATTTTATGACACATTGTGAACCACCTAAATAAACAAGTCGAAGAGCTTTGGAAAGGCCAACACCATTAGGAAAACTCTCTCACAGAGACGCAGAGTGGTCTGAAAGAGAATCTCGCGTTGATTGATTTGTACACCACTTCGTATTTACTGGTTTATGGGGCACTGATTTCAAACCTTTAGTCAGATTTCAAAAATCCAAAATGTCGGATCCAAAGTAGTGGAGAAATTTTAAAAAACTAATTGAATTCTCTCGATACTTCTTACTCAGGGGTGTTTTTGGAGTCGCTGATTATGAATCCGATCTGTTACACAGTACGACAATTTAATTTTTTCTGGAGTATTGATGAAACTAAGTTTTTCTAAAATTCTGGATTGTATATAGAAAAGTAATTTCTTAGCGTTCACAGGTTGGCGATTTTAAACGTTTTTTTTTTTTAATTTTTAATTTTAAGTTGTGGTAAATCAAATTTGTCATTATTATTCAAAATTATTTATTTTGTTTTGGGAAGGTTTACTAATACATTACATACTTACTTCAAGTAGGTTAGGTGAAAAATGTAATAAATGGCATTAAATGGCATCAGACGAAAATTTAAAAATTTATGTATAGCCTTTTTACTGACCTCTGATCATCAGTAAGCAAAACCCAGTCAAACATTAATTTTACATAGTAGAACAAAGTGAAAGTTCAGATTTTTGGAAATTTTATTTTTCTTTACGAAGTTTTACATTTTCTCAAATTCAACGCTCGTTCAATGATTTTTTAATTAAAAAAAAAACTCCTTATCAAAATTGTTTTTTTTCTGTCTAATACTCATAGCATATACATACACTAGGCGACAAATAAAAGTATACACCTTGATCTAATATAATTAATATTCACAATTATTTTCACGACCAATTTTTTGCAATCATGATTTCTGAAAATATAGTTTATTCTATAATATAAATCAAAGTTTCACTCTTTATATATAGTTCACAATAATTCAAAAAATTTTCATCAAAATTTCGAAATTTGTGTTCAGAATTTCTGGAAAATTTTCGAGTATGCAGTTTCGTAGCACATTTTATTTTCTTCTATATAAAAGTCATGCAATGCGCAACACCCTCCACAAAAATAAATCCTCCAAAATCAACGGTAATTTTTAGCGACTTGAACTTGCACTAAAATAGAATGGGCTACTAAACTGCAAAATCGAAATTTTTTTTAGAAATTCTGAATACAAATTTTGAAAGTTTGATGAAAATTTTTTGAATTTTTTTATATCTTATATAAAGTGTGAAACTTTGGATTATATGGTTTATATTATAGCATGAACTATATTTTCATAAATAACTAATGCGAAAAATTATTCATGAAAATAATTGTGAATTTTGCTTATATCAGAATGAGGTCTACATAACTTTCATTTGTCGCCTTGTGTATGTTTAGAAGGTCTTACAGTCACGAGTTTGTGGGCCCCTTTGGAGTTTAACTCTTTTAAGCTCGGGGTTTACCACACAAAAAGTTTTCTTTAAATTAAAATTTTTTTTGATTAAATTTGAATTTATGGCCCAATAGTATACATTTTAGCTGCACTGGTGAATTTTAGAACTACAAGATTTAATCAAAGAGAGTCCGAAGTCATTTCATGCACATAAGTCCAGCTAGGCACAAACAAAAATGTGGCACGATATGATTTTTTACGCTGATTTCAATCATACTATAATTGTTTGGCGCAAGTAAAAACGAAAGAACATATAAAAGGTTAAAGTAAAATTTATAATTTTTTTTTATATTAATCCTTTGAATTGTTTAACTCATTAAAAAAAATTAATTATTTCAAAAAAGTTAATTAATTTTTCTTCCACTTGGTGTACATAATACATATGCTTTTTTATATTTGTAAGCCGCAAACAACTCGTGAGTTCTTAAACACTCAAAAACTTTAGACTCGAGTTTATCGCTCAACGTGAACATACAGTTATGAACGGCTCCCGGCCCAGTATGCAGCGATCACTATAAATGTAAAAAACAAAAAATCAAAACGACAACTCACAAAATTAAGAAGGTTTTTTATGTATGTTTTTTTTAATTTTCTTATAAAAACAAATGGATTTTTACTACGAACTGTAATTTTTCTAGTAGGAAGTTGATTCGAATACTAAAAGTTATCCTTTTTTATTTTTAACATGTATATATATCTCCATGGAATTGTTATTGTTTTTTTGGTCTGTAGTTTCTAAATGAGCTGCATTTCATTTGACAAGAAACGAATGCCAAAAATTGCTTACATTTGTGCACATTATATTCAATTTATTTTTTGAATACAAGTGTTAAGTGAAGGTGCTCATCCATATGACATTATGGTTGCCCTTTGATCACAAGCAATTTTTGGCTGTCAATAAAAATTATGCAATTAAAAATGAACAGTAATTAAATTACGATTATTTATGAATTTTTGTATGGGCTTTATAAAATTGTTATTGTATATAATATAAGTATAAATGAACAGTATGTTAGAAGCAAAAACTAATTAAAAGCCATTGACAGATCATTAATATAAATTGAAAATTTTTCAGAGAAATTTATTATTTTTATTGATTTTGTTGAACACACAAAGAGATATTCTTTCGCGCCAGTTTTATAAACATATGCTGCACTGTTTTAGTTCTCATTTGAAATTTGCTAAACAGTTAAATAAACAATATACTTAATAATTTTGAAGATTCTCAAAAGTAAGCAGTCAAAGAATAGAAGAAAAGGAAATGAAGGAACCATGCTAACTAAAGCTACGGATAACGTAAAACCGCAACAAAATTTAATTTTGTTTCGTACATACATATGTACATACATACATACACATTAATTTGATTATATATGGCTTTGTACGTATGTATATGTTCATTTGTATGTTAAGTATGCGTGATAGCAGATTACAACATGGGAAGACATTGAAAATTCTAAAAACTATTCCCAACCAAAAAAAAAACATATTTTTAAAAGCAATAAAGCGAAAGAGAGGAAAAACACAGAGAACAATAAAGAAAAATTACATTGAGCTATTTGCGCAGGCATTACTTTTAGCTTGCCGGTTTTAGCACATATGTATAAGTATGTGTATCCGAATGTCTTTATGTATGTAAGTACGTATGTATGTAGATTAAAAACTTAAACGTGCTGATATGTATGAATATGAATGTATGTATATACATAAGGGTGGTCCTTAAAAAATCATATTAAGGATTTTTTTTTTAGGTCTCACCCCCTCAATCGGTAATACCACTGTCGCACAGCGAGAAAAGTACAGATTCGTCTATAGAGCCTCAAAAAATTAAAATTATTATTTTTTCATCTAATACCCAAAATATATACCGAATTCAATCCGGACCAAAATTTATATGTGATATCTTAGACTATAGTTACATTGACGTAAGGGTTGAGGCTTAGGAAATCTGATGTAAAAATTTGCTTCCTACATTTAAGGACCACCCTATCATACATATGTATGCATGTTCATCTATATAAAGAATGACGAGCCAAAAAACCTCTGTAAACTTATAAATGAACTAACTACTTGAAAATTGCATCTGTTATTAAAAAAAAAAAAATACAATTCATAAAGTTTTTGAATGAATTTAAATTTGTACAACCAAATTCGCTCATCACGAAGCCAACTCACGGAATTGCTCGATGGGCTAAATGAATTGAGTCGATCCATCTTGAAAAAAATTTACTTTATTTTGGGAAATTATGGCAACACTTAAATCGTCATCATCAGAGCAAAAGGCTGACTTTTTAAATTTACATAGGAAATACCTACAGAGCTATTACCAAGTTGTAAATAAATACGATTTTTGTTTAAGATATGGCCAGCTAACGGAATATTAAAGCGATTTTTTAACACAAATTACCGAAAGGGAAATTAAAAAGAAATGTATATCCAAAAAGTGAGCACCTTAATGCACCATTTTTAAAATATCTGCATTTGCGTAAGTACATATATGCATACATACATCTGTACATATGGAAGTGTATACATATACACGTTTAAGCACACTCATTATCTGCGTCTATTTATATCCACCTAATTGTAGATCATCACATTGCCTGATGTCTGTGTATTTTGTTGCTTGTCTATTTAGTGCAACACTTGGCGTTTTGCACCAGCAAATTCACGGGAATTTTCATTTATGTATACAAAACCCAATTGGAAATCAATAACTGACATGACTTGGTAAATCATCGCTTTCCGATCGCTGACATTTGCAAGAGCCGTCACTCAAATAAAGGAATCTGTAGTCCGATCTCCTCGTGGAGCAGCATGACACTAT